TTTTCATTCATCAGGGCTGTGCCAGCATTTTAAAGTGCCTAAGTGGTTGATATTTTAATGAAACTTAGGCTTATTTGTCTAAGAACATTTTTTTTAACTAACTTAGGTGCTTTTGTAAAGGTAAAGATAAAATCTATACTTCTTAGTTTTCTCTCAGTATAATGCTGACTACAGTTACTGATAGGTCCCTTCTCTTTATCCTTTAAGTGACTGTTCACATGCCCATTCTCACCATGTGTTACTTCAACACCATGCTCACATAGCTGGAGGTTGTTTCTAGAATTTCTTAGGTAAACAGGTATGTCAGAGTGATATTGTAGCCTTGATGATCCAGAAATTATGCAAGAGGCAAGACATTTTAGGGTGATATCTTTTATTGGATCAACTATGTAGCTGGGATACAGTTAGACAAACTTTCAAATAAAAGATAACACCCTAAGAAATTCTTGCTGTATAAACAGCATTATTTTGTAGGTAAAGGGAAAGCCCTTTCCATACTGAATGCAAGGACATCTCAGTATGGTAAGAATGAAGTATGGAAAAGAATACTACAAGATGATCTGTTGACTGAGATAAAATTTAGTATAAGCTTTGATCACAATGTTGTGCAAGTCCTTAATGATGACCTGCCTGGATAGAAGGCTGTGTAAGGAGCAGGGGTATCTATATATTAGTGGCATTTTGTTTTAATCATGGAAAAAAACTGTGGATTTGCGGTTACTTTTTAAATTTAAAAAATAGCAATTTTTTTTATCCAAGAAAGCTGGATCCCTGGTAAGGAATATCTGTCAAGGATCTTGCATAACATTATTGATAAAGTGAGTGCCACCAGCAAGGCTAGTTTCATGAACAGTTAGAGCAAAGAGCACATTTATGAGACTGCTATTTGAATTTAAGGCAGAGATATGAGGATCTCACAGATACCACCACAGATATCACAGGTTCCAAAATATTATCAGCCAGCAGGATCACCTGGACCAATTTTCACATGAGGATTATCTGTAAGATCAGAGATGGCACTGAGACCACAAGATAAGGAAGGCATGGGGCATGAAATTTCGAGATCAGACTTCTCTGCAGAAGGAGGACTGGCACTTCTTTGCACTGATGTCCAGTGCAAAGAAATCTATAATTTCAAATAATCATAGTTTTCCAAATGAACTAGACAACTAAGTTCTTGATTTTCCATTTGTGGTTTTAGAAGATGGATCTACTAAGATAGCCTGCTCTGATGTTCTGGAGACCAGGAAAGTACATGGTGGACAAGTGTGTTTGGTGCTCAAAATGGAGCTTGCACATGATGGTGTTAAGCTTTTTAGGTCTAACACAGGAAACCAATCCTCCTCTTTGGAATTAGAAAGTTATGCTATAAAACTCCTCTTCTCTAAAGTGCAAAGATAACTTTGAGGTCAATAGAATAAAAGGTAACAGGAAGAAAACCTCCTGCTATAGCAGACTCTCATGTGAAGGATCCCTGAAAAAAGACAGGAAAGGGATCTGGCATAGGTATTGAATTGAAATGTAGTTGCAATATAATCCATACCTACTAGTGTATGTATGTAGATTGGAAGTGGTCCAAAGCTAAAGAGAGGACAAGGGCATGGCAACACCAAAGGATAACTGTTGACTGCACCAAAGGTCTTATCTTCTGTCTAAAATATGCTATGAATCTAAGTGGGAAAAAGTATAGAAGTTGGGGCAAAGATAACCTCAGGTGGCAGCACCATCGCTAAGTACAGACACTCAAAAAGCCTGAGGCTGAATCGATTCAATCCTGTATAGTCTAAACTGTCTAAATTATAGTCTAAATTATAGTCTAAACTGTATAGATTGAACAGATAAGCAAGCGAACAGACATTCACTTTTGATTCTGGAAATGCCCCACATGCCTGCAGTGGCTCAGACCAGAAGTCAGGGGGCACTAGAGCATGCATACCTGCTTGGCTGGAGCAGACAACTTAGGCCAAGGCTAGCCCACCTACCTTGGGGGGGGGGGGGCGCTTGCTAAGGAGGTGCAAAACATCCTAGGATGCAGGGGGACTATGAGTTAACTTGGATCTGGAGGGTATCTGGGACAAAAGTTCAATAAACCAATTTAACCTAAATTAGTTAAGTCTGATACTACATCCATCCAGGTTTATCTTAAACCACTTTCATCCATTTTGAAAGCAGTTTATGTGCACTGAACTTCTGTTGTGTTACAGATTTGAACTGGTTTCTGATCATTTAAACTTGTTTATGTGTAATTTCTGTCCTTAGCCCATGTGCTATAGAAAAAATTTAATGAAAAAAAGCAGTTGTTCTGGTCATCCCTAAAGCCCATGTACATACATATAAATAGGCCAAGATTTAAAGATTTTTTTTAAATGTATGTTTTTTCAAGGTAAACATTTTTACTTTTGAAAACCTTGCCTTTGTTTGTAATTGTTCTCTCTCCCCAGCTATCTGTGTTATATAAATATGCAGTAAAGCAGTCTGGAAGAACAGACAGTGGGGGGAAAAAAGTGTTCTTAGGATGGTGGTACTTGTAATTAGCTCTATGGGAGAATGCCAAAGCCCAGTGCAGACTACATTTCCCACTCTTGCATATAAAATAAGATATGGTACTTTAGATGATAAAAAACTAGGAAAATTGTGTAATATGTGCAGGATGCAGAAAAATAAGTACATTGGTCATAATATTTTAAGGCTGTAACACTAACAAATAGAATGCAGTGTCAGCCCCTGTGTCCTCCATTGCTCTCTCAGTGTCATTATATTCTTTATCATATATTCCTGCAATAGGAGTGATCACTATGGCAATTTAGAAAATAAATTTAGAATTAATAACACCTCTTATATTCCAGGAAACAGTGCTGGTATCACGTACCTCTTGCTAGCTTTCACTCAAGTTAAAACAGAACACACAGAGAGGCAGGAATCATAATGCACCTAAGTATGGCTTTTGTTTAGCTGCGTTTACATACATAGCTCCAATGGTACTTTCTGATGTCAACACGTCTATCAGAATAACAGATAGACTCACATTAAAAAGTCATAATTATGCCCAGTCCTAATCACTTTAACAAGTTTCTGTCACACTTTTTAGCTTCTCACTTTCTGAGGTGAGTGCATTTGACCCCACTGTTTGCTTGACTAGAAGAATTTGCACTGTCAGAAGCATGGTCCTGGGTTATTGGAATGCCCTGCCTTTCTACCCACAGAAAATCAGAAATTTGCTGACTTTGAAAGGAGCTTAAATGTATTTTCTTTCTTTTTTTCTATAATATACTTGCAATCATATGGTTGTTTACAATTCTAGGCTTGCCATGCCATGGCAAAAGAATACATGAGGGAGAATAGAAATAGAATGTCCATATTAAATATCTCAAGAAATTAAGGTTTATGTCACCGAGAAACTTGGGATAGCAGTGGCTCTTGCTTTTCAGAGCTGATTTTCATATATATTTTTACTACAAAGATTGTACTGGGGAAATGATTTCAAACAAGCCTCCAAAATTTAATATAAAACTGCACTTGCAAATCTTTTTTTTCCCTGTGAATACAGCTGATCTGCTTATAAACTTGTAATGACAGTTTTAGGGACTGCTGAAAATCTGTTTAGTTTGACAAGCTGGAATGTAGCCTTTAACCTGCAAAGTAAAAATCCAATCAAACTGGTAGAAGAGCATTCTAACATACATTCAGTGTTCCACCTATATTCTGGAGAGTTCACCTGCTGCTTAAGCCAATAGTATTTCACATCACATTTATTAGAATAAGAAGGAATGCATCAGGTAAACTAAAAGATGAAAAATGGCAAATCAATATGAATATTCAGAAAAAATACATGCAAAATTCAGCAGAGCATCCCTTACTAGGGAAGGAAAAAGGCTCTACAAATGTGGTAGGACATGTCTCCACCACAGTTTCAAGACTGCCTACATAAAACCTCAAAACCCTACCCCAGCAGTCCTCCAACAAAGCTGGAAGTGAAATTATGATGCTCTAGGAATGCCAACTCTACAGCATACCAGATAGAGATCTTGAGAAGAGTAGGATTTATCTTTACTGGTAGAGTTCCAGGTTGGAGTGTGTGTGGGAGACTTATTTTTCAGTGGAAGTTTCAAGAGCATCAAAGGATCTATCTATCTATCTAACTATCTGGAGAGAGAGATTTTCCACAGAGATCCCTAAATAACGTATCAATATTCCAAACATCTAACTTATCTGGGAAATGCCCAGAAACTATGGACCAGATTCTATTCTACCTATTTGTCACATCAATGGATTAGGCACCTAAGTGTGATTCTATTCCATTCAGTACATATCTCTGAAAGACTGTTAACACAAGAGGTGTGTATCTCCTTTCTCCATACTTCCTCTGTGTCACTCAATCTTAAAAATACAGTAGTAGCATATTACAAGAGTAGATGCATTAATAGATTTTTCAGGATTTGAACACAGTGGAATTAAAATCTGTTTTGGGGTTTAATAGGTGGAATAATCCAGCTCTACCTTCATAGACTAAAGGACTAATTCAATATTAAGTCAGAAGAAAGACTTTCCAGTTACCAACATCATAAACAGTGCCAAAAATCAGTATCTACTGCAACTGGGTTTTTCAATGAGATTTTTCATGCCAACACTGCTCATACTAGGTGTGTCTACATGAGATGCTAACTGCACAGTAGCTGAATAATACTTCACAGTAGCATGTCACAGCACAAAGAGTGCTAATACGCTACTGTACAGTATTATTAGGCTACTGTGCAGTAACTCCAGTTACTGCACATTTATTTCATACTTGATTATACAAGTACAAAATAAATGCACAGTAACCACTGTTCAGTAGTGCCTCATGTAGACACAGCCAGTACATCTTTATGATTTACTGCATGACATTTAGTGAACATTAAACCCTAAGTTTATGATATCTGATGAGAACAACTTTACTTTAACCTGACATCATTCTGTATATAAATGAACTATGTATAACCAGTATTTCTCTTGATGTTTACCTTGATAACAGATGTCTCGACTCTGGATGGGGGACTCTGTACTTGTGCTGCTGCTGCCATATTTGCAATGGTACTAAGATGGTTCATCTGGCTCATTGCCATTGTGACAGATGCTGGAGGTAGGCTGACAGGAATTAATGGGTGGGGCATCATCATAAAAGGAAGTTCCAGTCCTACAGGGAAAGAAAAAACAAAAGGCATGAAAATATGCATATGAGATTTTTTTAAAGATAAAATGTTAATATATTTTTCTGATGAGCAAATGATGTTGAAGTGACTGGCACCAAACTCTTCCAACATTTCAGTACAGAACATTTAACATGTATGTGTGTGCATAACTCCCACTAGGATGTTATTTATACATAGGGAGAGGCTGGTATACCTCTTAGTTTGTTCAGATCAGTGTAATGCTGTACCATATCATAGCTAATCCATTGCTGTTCATTATAAATGCTGTCTATTTTAATATTTTCTGTAAGGTGCCTTACCAATAAATTATTATGCTACTGATGCACAGGTTAAGAATTGTTTTAAGTTTCAGTTTTACTGTATCTATCTCTGTTCTTTATTACCCTTACTTCCCCTGCTTATCATACTGCCCACATCTTTTATTTTGCAAGGCCTATTTAAGTAAACACAAAAGAAAGACAGGAGTTTGCAAACTGCTGATGTTAGTGTTGAAAGATGTCAACCCGTACCATTTGGCAGAAGGTGGTTCTGTTGAAGAGGGTTGAGAGGATGACTAACTGGAAGATTATGCTGTCCAGGCAAGTTGGGGTGGTTAACAGAGGCCTGTGATCCTTGGGTGGGGGGAGACTGAAGTTTTTCTTTATCCCAAGAACCATCACTGCTGCCTGTGGGGAATGAATATAAATTATTTGGATGAAGGAAGACTCCAAATTTGCAATGTGTGAATTTGTTAGCAAGGCCACCAACTGAACCCATTTTGCAGCTGGCAAATTTGTTTTTGGAATATGGGAGTTGGGGAAAGGGGGCTTGTTGTTGTTGTTTTATATTTTGTTTTTTGTTTTGTTCTGTTTTGTTTTCAACTAGGAGGAAAACCCACCTTTTCAAACAATCAGGTAAGGATAGTATTTGAAGTTTATAGTTAGAAACACAAAAGGTTGTATTAGTTGATTTGGAAAATTAGTAAACTCTGAATTCTTAATTTCTGGCTAGAATAAGGGTTTAAAAATAGTTCCAGTGAGAAATCAGCAATGTATTTTTTTAAATTTAATGTTATATATGTATTATATTAATATCTTTGCTTATCTTTTTGTAATTCTATATATACACCATTTGTTTTTTATGTGGTAGAGTATTTTTACATGTCAAGTTTATGAAATTTTATATTGTCTGGACATGGCCAATAAAATTTAATTTTTGTTAATATTTGTTCTTCAATTTGGTATTAAAATAAAACTGGAGATATTAATTAAAATTATCACACTGATGGCAAGCAGCATACAAGCACTGCTACAAAGATAAATATTCCGTTTATATTTCATTATATTCTACAGAATATAAAAAGTAGAAGGTCCATTCCAACAACGCTTGTTCTTGTTTAATCATTAGTGAAAATAAGAAAGAATCTGAACTAATAGATGATCAGTATAGCAGGATATCAGACTATGAAGAAATCAGATTTTCACTACAGCAAATAGCTCTACCTTTTAATACAATATAGTAAAACAGAAAAATGCAGTTTTATACCAACATTTCATACATATATATATATATACACACACATACATATGTATATGAATACACATACATATATATATACATATATTTGATTTGTATATAATTGATAGGATGAAAACTTTATGGGATCTTACAACTGAAGAAGTCTTTTAAATAAAAGTATGAACACTGTATATTAACAGTATGTATATAAATATATATAAACCCCTTTTGTATATCGAACCCAATTTTGAACTACTTACTGAATAAGCCTCAGTGCCTTCAACAGGTTTTCATAGTTTCATAGTTGTTAGAGTTGGAAGCGGCCTCAATAGATCATCGAGTCTGACCCCCTGCCCCAGGCACAAAAGAACGCTCGGGTTATATGACCCCAGCCAGGTGTTTGTCCAGTCCCTCCAAGGTAGGGGAGAGCACCACCTCCCTTGGAAGCCCATTGCAGATTCTGGCAACCCTTACTGTAAATACGTTCTTCCTGATGGTCTAACCTATATCTACTCTCTGTCAGTTTGAGGCTGTTGTTCCTGGTTATTCCAAGGGGTGCCCTAGTAAACAGAGCATCTCCAATTTCTTGCTGCCTCCCCTCCCCCTGATTAATTTGTAAATGGCTACAAGATCCCCTCTCAGCCATCTCTTGCAGAGGCTGAAGAGGTCCACGTCCCTCAGTCTCTCCTTGTAGGGCCCTACCTGCAGGCCCTTAACCATACAAGTGGCCCTCCTCTGGATCCTATCAAGGTTATCCACATCCCTCTTGAAGTGTGGTGCCCAGAACTGGACACAGTACTCCAATTGTGGCCTGACCAATGTCACATAGAGGGGAAGTATCACCTCCCTGGACCTGTTTGTGATGCACCTGCTAAGGCAGGATAGAGGTATTGTTTGATAAGGATTTTTAAGGCTATGACCAACACGATCTATTTAATGAACATTATATTTCTACTTAGCTTTTAAAAATTACCTTAAAGTTCTCCTTTTTTGTTCACTTTTTGAAGCTACTTTTCAAAGTAAGCTAATCAGTAGTAGGACAGTCTATATACCACTTACTTCAATAGCAGCTAGATTAGCCCATTAGTCTTGACATTTTAAAACAATATTTTTATGAGATGACAAAAGCACAAAAGTTGGTAAAATTCCAATTTAATTCTCTGGATCTATTAAAAACCTTATTGTAAAAGCTGTACAACATAGTTTATAATGAAAAATCCTCTGTTTCTGCCACAATTTTCTTTTCCTAGCTACTTCATGAAGACAGTTAAGGCTCAATATAAATTCTAACTCATTAGCTCAATACTGTCTAGATCCCAATGTAAATTGTTCAGAAGTAGGTAATGAAAATTCAGTCCAAATTCTCCAGCAATCAAACAATGTGGTTTTATTAAACAATGAAAAGAATCAATTATACTGGATACCTTTACTATTTTACAAGGAATTGAAAGAACCTTTATCAAATGTTTATATCTTAGCTTGCCAAGACATGACAGTCTTAGAACCAGATCCGGTTTTCTGATAGATTGGTACATCACCTTCTATTTTGAACAGTCAGATGCTTCAACACATATATAACCTACCACATTTATTTGTACAGCCCAAAAATAAGACAAGCACCTTGTTTTGGAAAAGTAGAATAGAAAAAAAATCCAATCTTACCTGCTGCAGCACAAGCTTACCGTGCTAAATGTTGGCTACCTGAAGCAGGGGCAGAATCCATTCATCAGCGTCACTCCCCTGACTCTTGCTGCTCAGTCAAAAGCTGTGGAGCTTTAGTGGTTGAGTGATGCTGATGAATGGACTTTTCCCCCTGCTCCCTGTGGCTGGAAGCCAAGAACAGCCTCAGCAGCCATTCCAGCACCCCATGCCTCCATCCCAGCCTAGAAATCAGATCCCTTGCTTAAGACACTCACCCCAATTTGGGATGATTAGTCTTCACTAAAAAAGTGTGTGATACACAAGTAAATATGGTATCTGGCTTTCAAATATGCTGGCCACTGGTGAGATTGAACTTTCAGCTATCATTTGGAAACATAGCTTGATTGTTTTATTTTTGTTTCCTAAATGTCTTTTTTTTCTTCTAAATGATATATTTATTATTAGAATAGATTATACATTTTATACTTTCCAGATAAAATTTTTGAAGAGCCTGACTATACAAACTGATTTAAATTCAGTAGGGTCTCAATTATGTATCTTCCCACAACCAGTACTCCTACCTGCCTAACACCGTTACAAAATCTTTGTTGAAATTCAAGTTTTATTCTGAAGATTTCATATTAGGGTTTTTCCAGGCCCTGAAAGGGCTCTCTAGAAAAAAAAAATAAAAGAAGGTAAGAGGACAAAATGATTTTTTATGGACCTTAATTCAAACCTGGATCATTTCCACATCTCCCCCCTCCACCCCCCATTTTATGTATAATTCTTTTAGCCTCAACAAGTTTTCTATTTTAAATTTGTACTTATTTTTTCCACTTGTATTAAAAAACAGATGTTTTATCTGGTTAAAGGTATGTAAATGGTATGTGTTAAGATAAAATGCAGTTTTTTATTGTGAAAAGCTGACCTTTGTCATATGCAAATAGAAAAAAATAGGGCAAGTGCATTTGCATTTTATGCAGCATGTAAAATCTAACGCGTCTCTAAACAGTGGGAATCTTTCTAGGGTTTCATAGACATGTTCATGATAGAGTCAATTTTGTAAGCCATAGAGTTTCAGATTAAAGCATTTCGTATCGGACACAAATAAGAGCTTTTGTAAATGACAGTAAATATTTTTATGCCTTAGAACTACTTGTGTCCCTTGCTTAGGGTGTCAGCAAACCAGTAATGTAATGAAATAGCAGGGACAAAATCCAGAAGGACTACCATCCAGGCTAATGCTTAATCAGTGAAAAATTCTTTGGCACTTGGAACATGTCTTGGCATCATGGTTTGTGCCTGCCATTGTTACATCACCATAGCTCACCACTACAGCGACGTAGCATCTTGGGTAGGCGCAGCCTTGAAGTCTAATATAATTTGCCAACCTTAGTTTACAATGTAAATAAATCATTGCGACTATCCAAGCCATAAGAGCAGAAATCACTTTAGAAGTACAGCAGGTTACTCTTAATTCTTTATATGGACAAGCATAGATACAATCAGCAAGCATTGGCCATTTGCTGTGTTTTTGTTATGTTAGTTGAGTTCAACAACTTTTCTTTTAGAGGAAACAGTTATTTGTATTAATATAAAACTAAAATAAGTATTATCCCTCAGCCAGCAATTCCCTTGCCTTTTTTTAATTTGATTTTGTCATACAGACAGTCATTTCAAAAAGCTTTAAAAATCTACTGCATTCTTCCTCATTACTTGTTGCCCTGCTGGAGGCTTACGTTTTCCAGTTTCCATCAGTGGTTGTCAACTCTTTATAATAGGATTAAGAGCTTGGACACCTGATATCCCTGGGTGCTGTAGTTCACCCTTATAAAAGCTGTTTGCTTTAAATTGAGAGAAAATCAGTTTTTAGTGGCATAATTAATTAAATTATGCAAAGTGTTCCAGATTCAGCATAACACTTTCTGAAGCGAGAACTGGAAGCTCTACCTTGCATTTCAAACTGCATTTCAATTGATGCTGCACTAGACTGGCCAGAGAGTATTATTTTGAAGGCTTTTCTCCACCAGGGATCCAATTTAGAAATGTGGATGTTTAACATTAAGTACCCAGATCCCATGCATGGACACTCAAATAGGTGCTTCAGTAGCCAATTATGCATTTTATCTGCCTCACTGCTAACATGAGTACCCAAAATGTGGAAATGGAACTCCTAAGTAAGTAACCACATTTAAAAATTGGGCTCTGCTTACTTGGTGTTTACTGATCATGTTCAGTTTGACTGAGTGAAAATGAGAGCACTCTT